TATATTCAATAAGTATATTGAAAATCAACCCTATCTTCAGATATATTACCTTTAATATTTATAATTGTACTTGTTAGATAAGCCGACCGCAAACTGGAAATACTAAAAGAAAGCCTTATTTATATGCATCTTCATTATTTAATTTATCTTCTTTATTATCCTCCTCCTTACTAATAGAATTACTATTATTTCTGTTGTAGTTCGATTCCTTCTTTTCCTTAATAGAATACTTACCTTGTATAACAAAAAAGGCAAACACTTTTTTCGCTGTAAGTTATAAAAAAATATATCAATAAAGCAAATACAAAAGAAAAATAATTAATTTATTATTGTATATGTATTCTTTTATTATTTCAGTTGTATTGGTGACAACTTGCTTTTGCTATTACATTTTCTTGATGGTATGAAAAGCATATTAATTATTAATCAAGAGATATGAAGAAGATAAGTGATTGGAAAAGATTTGGAAGAGAGAGGGAAATTCGGGTGATCTATATACTTCGAAGGTTTTATATTATTGTTAGGCTATAGAACGGTTTCCTCCATTTCCCATACGCCTTCCCGTTACGAAAAAAGCAAAATTTGTGTATACACCTGTTTATTATACCATATTGCAATATAAATAATAATACCTTATTGGGATTGTCGATACATCTACGGATTAGATAATTGTGAAGCTTAAGGGCAGCTTTTTCGAAGGGGGGTAATGTTATGGATCGCATCTAATTGCAGCTATAATCACTCACGTACATGTTTGTGCATGTAACGATTATTATATAGCTATATATAGAAGCACTCTACAAAGCGCTTTGCTCTTGATTCTGTAGTTATAGATTCTAAGGATAAATTGTACCCTGCTCTCGCAGTTCTTCTAAGGCAAAGTGTCACAAAAAGAATTATTAGAATGAATTTCTAGAAAAAGAGGATATATAGATAATATTCAAAGCAATAGCTTATACAAGGATTATCAAGACTAAAGGATATCGGATATTTCAATAAAAAAGCTTTTTTAAAGGAAAATATTCTACTTTAGATTAATTCTATTTCCATCTCCTTTTATTATTCCAAAACTACAATGAAAAGGATATAAGCAATTCAAGAAATAGGAATAGCCTAGTTTTTCATAAATCGAATTAAATAATGTTTACTTAACCAAAATCCAAAGAAAAAACCCTTAGTCCAAATAAAATTATTCAGAAGATTATTATGAAAGTATATAAAGCAATTCTATAAAATCTTTTTTAATTTATTCAATAATCTAATCAATTTAGGATACTATCCATAATACTGAAAACAAGTTATTAAAGCGATTCTAAAGAAACCTTCAAATCCGATTACTCGTTCCAAAAGTATATAGAATCATTATACTTCTAAATTGTTTTGAAAAAATTAGCAAAAGGATTTTAGCTTAAAGATTAGGCTATTTAGCAAAAACTATTAATCTATTACATAAAAGTCAAATTGAAAGCCAACAAAAGAAATCAACAATTGATATAGCCCTTCTTTCTAATTATCGAAATCGAAAAAAACAAGTAAATCTATAAAAAAACCTTGATTCTATTTATAGATATAAGAGAGCCTTCGATTATATTTCAAGAAATCGATTATTAGATATTTGTAAGAAATTGAAAACTATCAATAATCTCATCTCCTGAATAGTTTCTTTCTATATAAAGGACAGCTAAAACTTTCTTTCAATAATCAAATCGAATTCTTTAAGTCTATTCGATTGAATATTATAAGGGCAATCCAATTTCTTTAATTCTTTTTTTAATATATATTAAAGAATTATTCTTTTCAAAATCAATTAAATTTCTTTCTATATTAATGACATTATTTTAATTATAAATTTATTCTTATAAAAAAAGAATATTAGATTTTTTGAAAAAGTTATAAAACAAATTCTACAAACTCAACTCGAAAAGTGTAATTCAATTCGATTTAATAAAAACAGAATTAATATACTTTTCAGTATCTAAGCTAACCAAAAACTTCTTAATCACATTATTCAATTTCGGATATTATTAAACCTCAATCTTTAATTAGATAGTTAGATATATGGTTTAATCCAAATCTCAAATTCAATCAACATATTAATATCCGAATTACACAAGCAAAAGGAGCCTTTCATCAAATAATTCGGCTAGCAAATATTGAAAAAGACCTAAGTTCTAAAGTGTTGGATTCGACCTCGTAAGGGGTGTATACACAAAAAGCATATAAGGATAAAGGGTTTTTATTATTCTGTCTGCCCCCTTTGTATGAAGGGGGAATATTCTAGGCTATATACAACGTTCTACCCCACATACGCACTTCGTGCGAAGGTGGGGTGAACGTGATCTAATCACGTGTTCCGACATAAAGCTTTTCGATAATTATATATAGCTTGTGTGACTAATATAGCTGATTACAGATTAGTGATTTGGTAGAGAGGACAAAGCCCACTTCAAGGATAAAATACAAGCTCTTCAAAACCTAGCTCTCCAAAAGATATTAGGAGTTTTCAAAACCGCTTCAATTCTTTCAATAGAAATCGAATCGGGATTGTTGGTTCAATAATGAGATCAGGAATACGGGAGACGTGGTTCCCACTATCAGTAGTAGGCCCCTAAATGTCTGTATTGTATTCTGTCTAAAGAGCTAGCTAATGAGGGGAAATAGTAGGCCTTATATAGGCACTACTGAAAGAGCTAGTCTCCTTCGCATTCGCCTAAATACCTTTGATACAGTAGCCATTGTATTGAAGTCATTCTTTTGAAGTGAATTCCCTTGTTCACACAGGGATTAAAACCAGCAAATATCCGATTAGACTTAAACATCAAGTAATACGCTTTTCAATTAACAAAACTCTTATTCAAACATCCAATCAATATCGAAAAAGCTACTTTAGTATACCAATACGCTAATCGGGAAGTAATTAATACTCCTCAAAGAAAGTTATATAAGTCAATTCAACTCAATAGAATTAGGGAATCAATTGATAAAAAATTTGATTTATTCTCTTTTGAAAAGATTATTCATTTTTATTTTCCTTTATGAAAAAGGAAATCCCTTTCAAAATTAATATTAGTTAGGCTTCAAAAGAAAATACAGTAATACTCCATAATATTATTTTTAAATATAAAGATCAAAATACTATTTACATTTATATAGATATCTTTTTTATTAAAAAGAGAATAGGTATTGGTATAGGGATAGTATCAATACAATTGAATAATTAGATTTCATATCAAGAACAAATCAATATTAGAAGTAATCAACTAGTCTATAATAAAGAGCTATATAGAGTTACTCGAGCTATTGAATATGCTAGTTCAATTACTAATAATAGAAAGAAGTTTAAGGTTTATTCAGATAATCAAGCAGACCTTTTTTGATTAAAAATACCCTTAGACCACCCAGGGCAAGCATATCAAATTCGAGCAATCAAAGCAGCCGAAGCCATTATAAACTAAAGGATCTGAAATATTCTTGAATTAAGTACCAGGGCACATATCAGTTAAAAAAAACGAGCTAGCAGATAAGCTAGCAAAAGAGGCTACTACAATATAATCTACCTTGAATGAAATCAGTTTTGGATTGCTAGAAATGATAATCAAAGAATCCTCTTTCGATTAATGAAGTTTAACTTTTAATTAATATAAACTCAGATCCAATCAATTGACATTAACCTATTCAAAACAATTTTCATGGAAAATCGGATCGAAAATTAAGCTATTAATTGGAACCAATCGAAATACTACTAGTACACTTTTCCAATTAAAATTAGGTTACGGATATATCAAATCATATCTATATCGATTTAATTACTCCAATAATAAATATATATACAGTAATATTAAAATATTGCAATACTTCCTAATTAGTTATTCTATATATAAAACAAAAAGAAAAAAGATATTCCAGAATATATTATTATCGAAAATCACTATACAATTCTATTGCATACCAAAATAGGTATCGAATTAGCTATCAAATTTATCAATATCACCAAAATCGCTACAAAGGCATGGTATTTAGCAAGGATTCTTAAACAAGAAGTAATAGAAAAAGAAATAGTAATAGAAAAGGAGAGAGAAAAAGATAATAAAGAAGAAATAGTTAAGGAAATAAGAGAGGGGCTTGATCTCCTCACAATTTCTTGATTTTCAAATTTTCTTATTATATACAATACATATAATAAATGGGCATTATTTCTTAGCATTTATTTTCATTTCCCTAATTAGATTATATTCAATATTATAAATCAAAAAGTTATCTGTTGGGTCTATTGGGCCTAGTTGTCCTATATAGTCTTAGACTGAAGGTGAACGTAAATTCAATCAATCAATCAATCAATCAATCTTTTAAATACTTAGATCTAGAAAGAAGTTAAAGACAAATTTCTAACTATCTTCTTATTTATCTTCTTATTTTTCTTCTTTCCGTCTAATCTAATTAAACTCTTTTTCGAAAGACTAAGAAGATAACTACGAAATGAAAGATAATAGAGTCTGATCAGAGCATCTATATAAATAGGAATATTCAGAACCGAGTATAGATAATCTAATCGGCCTCAGGCCTCTATATATTCGTCTGTAACGCTATAAAGGCTTACAATCGAAATAATAGAGAGCGGGTTAACAAGAGTATTTGACTGAATAAATGATACATTACTACGAGTAACTCATAAGGATTATAAGGTTACCTAAGAACCCTACCTTTTCTATTATGCCGATCTATAGATGAAAGGCGGTGTAATATCAATTGGATAGGGGTGCCGAGCATTTCGGCTGGAAGGGACGACAATATCACAGCAATTGCTGATCAAATTCATTTTGGGATAATTGTAATTGATTTGTTTGGATAGAAATCATGAAATTATGTAAAGATCGTACGATATTTTGAAGAATTGAAATCTAAAATTTCTTATATGTGATTGATTATCGTACTAATTTCAGACTCGAAAAGAAGATGAAGAGCTTTTCAGATTCCCGGAGCTTGGAAGCATTAGTAATCTCCTAATTGAACCTCGCATTTCCCTCCCAGTACAATTTCAATCCCGTTAGCCCACTTAGATCCAAATCTCCCGGGTTCATAATCTTCACAGTCCACTGTGCAAACGCAGTGGGATCCACATAATCCGAACTTTTGATAATGCTATCCTTGACAGGAGGCAAGTCCACCGTCCCATCCTTTGCAACCGTATATTCAAATGGTCGACTGAGCGGTTTGATCGTGAATCCATATATGATGCCATCCTGAATATCGGTATAAATTCCCGAAGTGCAGATTTGTAGGCGGATGGTAGCACGAGAGATACTTGAGGAGAAGGCTGAGGGCTTGGGGCTTGCGCCGAGGAGAAAGGCCCGCATGCCGAAGACTCGGAAGCGGGATCCATCAATGAATGTCTTGGAGGTTAGCTTTTATAATAATAAGGAATAGTATTATTATAATGATAGTGGAAGATCTAGTCAGTTTAAGCTTGAGGGATAAATCGAATATATAGAATAAGAGTTGAATTGAAGTCAATTTAGAAGAGCTAGGCTGAGTTGAGATGAATTGCTTGCTTTTTCCTAGATTTTCTTTAAAGAATATTCTAGGTTTATATAGTTTATAATGAAATTCCAGTATATTCTATGCTTATAAATAAGATCGATTTAAATCGTATCTTATAGAATCATTTTAGATAATAAAAAGAAAGTACAACCAATCAATTTAGCGATATTTCCTATATACTTCCATCTAGTTCCATTTCATTCTATTCCATTATAAATCAATTTGATAAGAGATACTATTATACAACTATATGATAATATGATTTTATAATATAAGATCATATTATATGTGTATTAGTCATCAAGATATCCCTTATTTAGTAAGATATTAATAAGTGATTTAGTGGACTTATTATGAATCCTCACAGAATGGGCCGGCGATGGGTGGAAGGCTTGAACTTTTATCTGCTGCGGAAGTGGAACTTGAAGTGGAAGTGGAAGGCGAGAGCGTTATAGTGACGGAATTGAAGGAGGATTGTAGCGCGTTTACGACGCTGGTTCGATAGTTGAGCGGGAGCTAGAGGTAAGTAATGAATCAATGGATTCGTGGGTGTGGTCTGATTGAAAGCCTATCATGCTGTATACTTACATCGATGGTTTGAATAGTCGGAATGAAAGCTAGACATAACGAAGATAGAGAGAGTAAGTGCTGGGTATTCAAGCTGAAGGTGGGGGCATTTAGACAGACTCGCGTGTAAAATCACTCGAGTAGTTCTCCTTGCACGCAGTGACTTCCTGTACAATCATCTCCGAGTCCTCCTGATATTCAATAATAGTTTTTAATGGATTAAGAACAACTGTGCTATCACTCAACGTGTAGTATTTATACGCCCATATAGCATCCCTCATATAAATCATAATATTAGTACGAAGCATAGATACTCGATCATAAAAATAACCTTGTGCTTCGAGAGCTGCATCTTGTTCTCCGTCGTAGGTATCATAGAGCTGTTGCAGGCGTGCTGCATTGCTTTTTGTTGCTTGCAATTGAAGCCAGAGCTGAACATACTCCTGACCTTCACGCAATAGGATTAGTAATCATGGTAACAAAGAGATCAATCGATTTTGAGGGACTACTTACCAATCTTAACACTCTGTGCTCTTGCCTGAACTAGAAGCTTTCCGTCGATGGCATGTCGTCTTAACTCCGCCTGATACGCCCCCGCCCCCTCAATCTTCTGCTCAACCGCATACGCCATCTGCTCATCACTTTGTATCATCCATTCATCCCAAGCAGCGATGCCAACAATAGCAGCTAAATCAGCATTACTCTGATCTTCGCCTGAGACGTCACCTCCCGCGGAGTTCAAATCGACAGCCGCCACATCGTTGACCGCGGCACTAGTTCTTTCGTATAGCTTCAAAGTGGCTTCAGTGCCGCCCTTGATACCTTCAATAGTCTCGGGCTTGAGGAATAAGTTTGCAAGGCTTCCAGCTTCGCTAACAACCTTTATGGCCGATTCGGCAGCACCTGGTGCAGCGGCTGCTGCTTCAGGATCGCCGATCGCTATCTCACCGATTGCGATTGCGAATCCTAGTCAAAATAGAGGTGTCAGCGAATACACGCTCTGGTCACTCATCATTCCAGGCTCTAAGCACTCACCAAATATGGCTTGAAATACATCAACAATTGTATCAATAATTTGCTCTCTCTTCCATTCTTGGATCCCCAGATTGAAGTCCGACTCTTTATCCCGAATGTCTAATTGATGAGATCTCATTGTGACTTCGGCATTATTCAAGATATCTGTTGCGTTATTCCATCTTGCTAGCGAATTGGTAACAAGAGTTTGTTGCAAAGTAATATTACCCTCATCTTGATCTAGCATCGCTTTCCATGCGATTTTTTGGTCTGCAATAGCAGCTGCTCGATCCGCAAATCGATTATATTGTGTTTCAAACGCGGAAGCCGTCGCGATAACATCATCCAGAACTAGCTTATACGTGCTCAATGTCAAAACGGGCACATAGTTGATATTCGGTCCTGTGAGAACCGACGACGAGATCTGCTGACCCAACGCATGAGCTTGCAAATTAAGAAGCACACCTGTCGCCGAGGTGGCTGTCGCCCGGGCTACGTGGGATGTCAAATCTAATGAAAGACTGGATTGAGTCCAAAAAAAAATAGACGCGATTCGAAGTTGAGTAACTAAACATTTGGTAAACTCGATATCAGTTATAGACAAATCGTCGTATTTGGTTAGGTAGGTCAGAGTTGCTTCCCCATTCTTTATGTCAATCTGTGCACCGAGATTTCCAGAGGCTGGGGATAGATCGAGTGGGATTGCGGGGGTCGTGGAGCTTGAATTTAATTTGTAGGATATTGGTTGGTCGAATGTGGATCCATAGATTGTAAAGGCTGATTCGTTGGTGCTGGCGGGATTGAGGGTGATAGTGAAGGGTCCGCTTGCCGTTACAACTCGGGAGATGATGTAAATTACCCCATTTTTGGGAATCGAGATGGTGATTTCTGGCGTAGAAAAGGCTATCACATCAGCAAATATCTGAGTGAGTTGAGAGGTAGATGCAAGGATAGCAGTTGGCGCATCAACATACATATCTCGGACGATATACTGTAGCTTGTTAGTGATAACAGCGTTTAGATACCGACTACGTATGAATCATGGAAAACTCACTTTGCTATGTTGAGCTATTATGTTTGACCTTTGAGGTAAAGTCGATAAGGAATGAGATGTCGAATATTGAAACCAGCCATCAGGGGCATTTGGGATTGTATTGTTGGAACTCATGTCTAACAGTCTGTTGATAGAGAAAATACAATTCTTGAGTTTTACAACATATAAGAGGAGATTCTGTTTATTTCTGCTAGAGGAGAGTCTGTGCTAGTAAACTACTCCGGTTCTCGTTGAGCAGCTACTGAGATAGTCACTATACTACACATATCATATTCTTCTCAGCCCAGTTCCACGGAATAGGCTGTACCACAGTTCCACAGATGATTTGTGGGCTGTGATTCTCTCCAACTCACCTTCGGTTACTCCTTTTCTTCGTCAGCCGAATTGTTTTTGCAAAAATCGCTGACACCTACTAATTCAAGGTTACTAGGCAAAGAGTTATCGCAATCATGCCAATTCACGAGTACATTTCGGTACTTGCAATGCCACTTCGAGATGCCAGCGGTTTGAAAACGTCAGCATGCTTATCCCCTTACATTGTTAGTCTTGGAGCTGGCTTAGTCGGAATGGCCTGTTCCGAATCGATTGTAACATATATGTATGATATATTGATAGATAACTGATTTGCAAATGGGATGAAGGGCAGTCGGTATGGAAATTCTGATAGTTGTAGCACCGATAGGGGATGCAGTGATTCATTAGGCAGCAATTTCACAATGCAATACCTCAATTCTCAACTATTCACAGCATTTCAGCTAGAACAATTTCCCAGCCTATGCTCAATGATAAGTCAAATGACAGTCTAATGGAACGGATCAGCGTGGAGGAGGTACAACTTCCCCACATCTTTAATTTATCTTCAACTTGACGGAACACAATGAGAACCCTATCAGAGACTGCCAGCACTTTCCTATCCCTTTACCATTTTGTGAACTATCAATACTCGAGTGTAAATCAGATGAGGCCTGTTAACGAAACACAATACAAGTCGTATCAGAGACTGCCAGAAATTTTGTCCTATCCTCTTTACCACTCTGTAGCCCATCTATTCTCGATTGTAAACAAAATAAGGCCTAATGTAACAGATCATCATAGGATAGGTGCAACTTCCCCTCACTTGTACAATTAACGAAACATAACGAAAATCGTATTATAGAATGCCAATATTCTTGTCTTATCTCCTTTACCACTCTGTGGCCCATCTATCGTCAATTGTAAATCAGATAAAGCCTAATGTAACAGATCATCGTGGAATAATTGTAACTTCCCCTCACCTGTACTACTTAAAGTTTGTTGTACACTTATTTGTCGAAACATAACGAAAATCGTATCAGAGACTGCCAATACTCTTGCCCTATCCTCTTCACCACCGTGTTGCTACCTCCCATCACTAGGTGGTGCTTGGGATCATGGGGATATAAACTAATCGGTCAGTAAGTCAATAAAAACTACATTATCTTTGACTACGCACTCTCATATTTGGGGATATATTGTTTTGCCGTCAACCTTCGGTAGCTCTGCCTTCTTCAATTCATAGCATAAAAACCCTAATCGAATATCTTATACACGTTTCAGCCTTGATCATCATGAGTACTTCTACTAAGACCATTACGCTTAAACCAGATGGTTTCATCGGCTCAGATGGCAAATATATCTTGGATAATGCCATAGTTGTGGGTCTTCTCAATTATGTTGTAAGTCCACCCACAATTCCTGAAGTTCCTCTTTCCAACCGTTGAAAACATTATATGTTGATACCTATATATAGTGGACTGGGGTGCTTCTTGCCACGAACAAAGACGATTATATGGCTCGTACGGGTATCACTTTAGACCACTACAGCACCCTCAGTAAATACATCGACCCCCTACTAGATGTATATAAGCCGGTAAGTATACAACTACTTCTCAAAGTCGACAAAAGTACCACTAACTCCCGACTTCTCGTAGTGTCAAGCCCACTGCCAAGACTTCAAGGACAACGTTTACGGAAACATTGTAGACCTGAGCCATGCTGTGAAAGATTATGCTCACACGGCAGGCGGCACAGCAGGTGGGTCGTTCTATGCCAACATCATCAAATACGGAAACCTGTTATATGACGAGTTGCAAAAGCCTACGGCTCAACAAGACCAGGCAAATGTTACCAAGTACCGAGAAACTGTAACCCAGCTCGTGGATACGGAGATCGACACCATAACTAAGCTACAGGGTAAAGCTGCAAAGGCGAAACAGGATTTGATGACTTTTCAACAACATTGCAGGGAGGACCAAACAGCTCTCAATACTCAAAACACGTTGATTACTACCGGGCTCACTGGGGACAAGGGGGATCTGACGCAGACCCAGGAAAAGCTCATATCAGATAAGGCTGAGCTAAGCGCTGATCAAGATGAATATAAAGAAGGTATATACGTTTCTTCACTTAATACCTATAACCCAAATACGAAGAGTAACTAATAATATTAGATATCATCATTGCCGCAACGGCGGTTACATATGTCTGGTGGTGAGTTATGTTGATTTCACAGGAGGTTTATGTTTGTGTAAACCACTCTCTAATTCAACCACACAGCTATCCGATTGGGACCATTATAGCTGGAGCTATAATGGGTGTATATGGAGCAAAAGCTGCGAAGATGAAAACCACAATCGACGCGGTCAAGGAACTTATCGAGGACGATAACGACAAAATAGCAGCCGACAAAAATTTGATTGCAGATTTAGGTCTTATCAAGGTGGGAAGCTTTCAGTTTTCATCGGCATTATATCATTCACGTCACACCGTTCATTCTTTTTTGTTATTTTGCAGCACTAATTGCATTATTCGTATGGTTTAGGACGATTTAAATTCCTTGATCGCTAAGATCGACGTCGCAGTCCATGCCCTTGATGGGTTCGTTTCCGTATGGGGCAATATCGCTGGGGATCTCCAGGCTGTGAAGGAGGGCACACAGGACAATTCAGGGACCGGAAATGACATAACCCAGGGAATCGAACAGCAGAGTATCCTTGACTCATGGAATGAACTCCACGACAAGAGTATGTATTTAACAATGCACATTTCTATTCATATTCACATCGCTGACCATACACCCTTTGATATAGTGGATGTGTATTGTAATATCGCGTATATTACTGCACCCGAGCAAGTAACCCTTGACTCATACGCAAAGGCACTAGGCAGCGCTTGAAGTTAAACGCTGAATCGGGATGCGAAGACTCAACACCTGTACGCAGTGCATCCTACGAACCTCCAGCTCTCTCTTGAGAGTCTGCAGAGCTAAGATTGAGTTACAGATGGAATTGGAAGAATTGAAAGAAGAGAGGTTCAGAGATATAGCAAAGGATTATATTACGATTTTATGATAGCAATATCTACAAAGAGTTGAATATTAGCTTTAGATATGGATACGAAGGTTATGGAAGCCCTGGTTAGATTCAACATCTACCATCGATTACTATTTCAAATACAGAAATATAATATACAGTAGATCTCTTTTTTTAGAAGAATCTTTTCGATATAGAGCTTACCGTTATTCTACTTGTACTACAACCCTTTTTATACCCTTTGGCTTTCAGCCACTCGAATACTACAACAACACAATACAAAGAATACCATTGCCTTCAAATTAATACCATACTTTGAACATTAATATAGTATAATGTTTTTCTTTTAATTTTCGAATTTTCGAATTTTCCGAATTGATTTGTGTATAGATAATAGGGCTTAGGATTCGGCCCTGCCCTATTATTTTCAATAGTTTCGATTATATATATCTAATAAAAGCTAAAGGATATCAAGCTTATAAAGATATACAAAGGGCTAATTTAAAAGAAATAAAGATAGAGAAGAATAATGCCTTCTTCTATTACCTTATTTATTTATTTATTTATAGTGATTAACATCTAATATCTGACCTCCCAAGGGGTATTCTAGATGTACTAAGGAGCGGACCTACGGGCCACTAGCATTCCAGCCGCTTATAGTAATATAATGTTAGCTAATCAGGAGCTTGTTGCCTCTAATATTCCCCTGCTTAGTACCACTCATAACAATCCTACGGCTATTCTATCTAAAGATTTGTAGTCCTGCTTTAGAGGGCCTTGTTTTATATACTATCCAAATATCGGCGGATAATCAGGTCGATCGTTATCGATCGGGAGAGTGCTCGGAGTACTTATAGCTATTCGGTATGGGTTTTAGATTGATTAGAATAGAAAACTTATCCTCAGAATATTGAAACAGATTGGAATTCGTATAGTTTTATATAGTTTAAGCATATCCTAGTATAGAATCTGGATTTAGTGAGAAGATCAATAAAACTATATTATATTCACAAAACATGGTTGATATATGCTATTACATCCCATTCGGATCGAAGTCGATTTAATACAAACGGCCAATCGCCACGCATCTGATTATTGATTGAATATTGAAAGAAATACAATAAGCTTTTTTCAATCCTATATTTACAAATATTTATACTATTTTTGTAATTGAATCTGATATAATAAACTGCAAGTATAAGTGCAGGCATAAAAGGTCATCTCCGTTGTATCAATAGAGTGATCAATACTGCTGCAAGAGGAGCGATCCCAGTATACAAGACTATACCGATCGCAGCTCTTATCAAAGAAGTGGGCTTGCTATCGGGGATAGTCGTGTTAGAATATGTTAAGCTGTGATTTGCATTCCATTTAAAAACGATCGACAATTAATATTTGTTAGTAAATCGTTTGAAGCTAGTAATACAAAAACGTAAATGAGGAGCAGGTACAGCAAAAAGGTTTCTTACAAGAATCCAACAGCTCAGCTATCTCATCCTAGAGATGCAACGCTCAAAGCTACTCTGCTTGCATTTTTCGAGTGGTTGCAGAATGAATTCAACAAAAGGATTAACCAAAAAAAAAGCAGTTCAAGCCTTTAAAGAGTGGTGGTGACAATTCTCATTCGAAGACTATACGATCTTTTCTGACGGATCAGAACAAATCATTGATTGCAAATATTGTGTTGGCTACGGATATGTAATATATCGCAATGGTACTCAAATAACCTTCGGATTTAAGCAGATCCGAAGCAACTTATATGTATTCGATGTAGAAGCGATAAGAGTATGGCATGGATTGGAGTATCTAATCATTATACTTGAAGATCCCTTGAACAGCTGGATCTGAATATGTATTGACAGTACATCGGTTATCTGGGGTATACGCGGAAATGCACTGCTTATAATATAATGGGTCTTTTACAAGTGTTATAAAGTAATAAAACAATTCGATATCAGGATAAAATGGTCACCTGGATATATAAAGATTGAAGGCAATGAGGAAACAGATCGCTTAGCAAACACAGACACAATTGGGCTTATGGACTAGGCAATCGATAAGCTACCAACAATCAGTGGGATCCGAACGATTGTCCGTCAGAAGCGCCTACATACAGAATCTACCTGGTGGGAAGAGATGAATTCCTTTCTCTCCACTAACTACAAGAAATAATCTTCTAGATATAGTACAAAGAAGCCAAAGGAACTAACTCTACCAAAAGCAGTCTTACATCGATTGATAACTATAAAAACAGGCCACAGCAACTACGCCGCTTACCATCAGCGATTTGGTTATCAAAACAACAAGCTGAACTGCTCATGCGGTAGTGCTAAGAAACCATATCACTTCTTTAAATGCACTATAAACAACCTAAAGCGTTCAGACTGGCCCCTTGCCCCTATAGAAATGCAATCTAACAAGCAGGCGATCACATATATCAAAAAACTCTTACACACACCTAGCAAGCTCACTCAGCTGATCACCGACTCAGAGTTCTACACTCAGATCTGTTCTAACTACTAAAGGACCCTTAGAAAGCAACAATCTTTTCAACAAAGCTTGCTGCTCATCCCTTATAAACTCATCACTCAACTGATCACTCGAATACACTACACCCTAAAAACCGCAAACCCAATATATAACACAAGAGCCCTGCTGCTCGGCTAAACAAATAGCAACCCACTCTCGCTTCTTCTCCTCTACTATAGGGATCGAAGCCCACAACGAGCCTATCCACCCAGGAATTAAGCTCTGTTTTAACAACAACCCGGATCAGACATTCCCTTCTGAAAACAGAAGCGGATCGCACCTGCAGAGAAGCGAATAGCCCCTAGCATTGAAGTTAAATTGCTAAATTCGGTCGCGACGATCACGCCGCTCAAATAGTTCCTTATCTTAGCACGTCTAAATACCCTTAGGGAGGTCCAAAACAGACGTTAATTAATATAAATAAATAAAATAAAAATAATAAACTGCAAAGTTACTATGTCCGGTCCATATCGCTATAAGTCTATATAGTACCCCGTAAGAGAGCTTGAGGCTTTCCGGCTTCGAAATATTATATACTAATTTCTATACATTATATATTTCGGAGATCAAACCTCTTTTTTCCTTTTACCATTTGCTCTCGGAACACTAATATTTGATATATAGAACAAAGCGGAAGCTACTGACTATAGGGAAACAGAATAGGCTAGAGTTAAGTAGCCCAGCTGTACCCTAATCAGCAAGATAATCAGCTGCTTCGTTACCCTCAATCTCAGTATACCCAGAGGACTATTTGATTGTAATATTGTAGTATTGTATTGCTTAATAGCATTTGTAATATACCTATTGAAAGGAGACAGTAATGCTTTCTTACATTCCCTAGATTATTGAGGTACTATCAATATATAACTATATTTATTTCTAATAGAAACAATCAATAATACTTAGAAGACATTCTAGTCCCCGCTATACGCTAATTACCTCAATATCAAAAACATACAACTATTTGCGTATATAACTATAACCACTAACAATCTATTACTTATCGCAATAGATTATAAAGCCATATTCTATACAGTGATTATATTCATTATATTATTCAGACCTGTCTGAAAATACAGAATAGTCTTCTTGAAGGATTAAGTCTTATCATTCTTTGAATACTTTCATAATATCCTCTTTATTCATATTATTTATTGAATCAATATAATATTTAAAAAAGAAATAAGATTATAAGAGTTTGGGGCACTCGGTAACAAAAATTGCCCATCCCATTCTTTATAGTTTTATATTAAGATCTTTCAGAATACCTATACCTTGTTTTCTTTTTCTAATATATAACTTTAATTAGTTTATAAATAAATATTATATATCTATTATCTAAAGCTGAAATGCAAACCTCAATCTAGCTTATTTTAATATAACAATTTTAACTAGGAGATCAGCTTCTACAAGAAATACAGTTATCGGGATCATCTTGTAGACAGATAAAGCTCCTTGTACTGTATTATGAATTGTCTTACTAATTAGATCGATATATTTCTTAATCCTAATACCGATCGGAATATAATCTGTATTTAGATATTGTTTATATAGCCCATTGAATTATACTTCAAAGCTAAAAAGAGCAATAGGGAGTATACAGATAATGATTGCTTTTCGCAAATAGGCTGCAGATAGTTTATAGGCTATATGAGCTATTAATCGGATATGGGATGCAATACGTATAGCTTTTATAATATGCGTTTTAATATATTGTAAGAATATTAGATATTAATCAAAAAAGATATCAAGCCAATATAAAATCGGTTGTATTTTGTTGATAAGCTTTAAAAGGATTGATGTAATGATTAGATCCTGATTTATTCTTATAGTCGGGTTTGCAATTTTATATTTTCTTGATATATGAAATAACTCAAACTTTTTTGAAGTAAAAAAAACCTTATTCTGATCTTCTTATTGTAAAATACATTGAACGGTTTGATGGAGTATATATGTATTTGTAAATAGGTCCTTAGATATATAATATATAGCTATATCATTAGTATATCCGAAACACTATACTTTATCTTGATTGAGAAGCTTAGTAAGATAAAGAGTATATAGAATAAAGAAAAATAGCAATCTTTAGGGGATATTATATATAATTGGGAAATCCTATATTATAATCCCTTTAAGCCTTACATATATACATCTCCCAGTCAGAAATGAATTAATGAATCACAAAAGTACTATAGGCTAATCTTGTTTCTTTATACATTATAGGAGCTGTCTTTTAAGAAATACATTATAAACACCTTATATATTTATTATTACTAGTATAACCATTTTGCCAACTACTAAAACAAATTCGGTATTATAAGTAAAGACAATTATA